TGTGTGAAAAATGACTGTATGGGAAATAAATGCGGTAATATAAATTTGTTGTCTCAGTGACTCGTGAGAATTCAGATGTGAGTTTGGTGAACATTTGGCAAATCCGATTTTCATCCACATACGATTTTGTGTTATCTAGATTACTTCCTTCTTGGAAGTTAGGCTTAATTATTTGAGCAATCCATCATACACATTCAATCTCCTCTAAAATGTTTATTTGGGATTTATTAGCTTTGTTGATTTTTTGTCTTATGAGCTTTTTAGCTTCAACTAAGCTTTGTGGAATTTTAAATAGACTTCTAGGTAGCTATTAGGTTCCTTTTTACAAAAATTGGTCATTATACATTTTTAGAATAAGAGCTAGCTTTCACTATTCTTTACATGAAATGTATTTGTTTCCATGATTCAGAAAATATTGGGTTTTGAACCTACACTTACTGAATCTTATGCTTTGAGAACTGAGCCACTTGAACACTATTTTTCTTGCGTTACACATTTTTTTTGCTTCGTTGTTTTGTAAAAATCAGTAAAAACCTACCAGCTACCTCTTCTACCTTCACCACCAGTTTTCCCAATTCCCATTCTCTAAAAACTAATCTTAAACATTTTTCATCCTTGATATATCCTCGTTCAGCATCAGACAATGAAAAAAATATTGAAATGTATTTTTAACGTTTAGACGGGAAAGAAAACACTTGAAGTAAAAATTGAATATACTGTAGAATGATGTTGATGATGATGGTTCATATGAGTCGTTACTCATTACAAATTCGAATCATAAAAACATCTCTCGTCTCTCGTAGAAGCAGAAGATAAAATCCCATGTGATTTTCGATGCAATAATCTTTTGGATTAAGGTATGCGTTGGCGTTCAGTTTGGGTGAATGGTCGGTTTATGGCAGTAGATTGAATTGAATATTGACTGGTTAACTTGGTTTGATTTATGAGAAAGTAATTGACTGAATTTAAGGGATTATTTGGTAATAAACTGAAGTATTAAGTAAATTTGAAGCTCAATTGAGTGAGTGACTGAGTGTGTGGGTGATTAGATGTGTCAATGACTAGAGATATAGGTGGATGGAGGTATTGGTATTATGATCAAGTTGATTTGTGGGTGGATATCGTTTTGAAACTGTTTGTCGGTTGGTTAGTGGATCAATTTTGTGACATTATGGCTTCTTGAGCAGCATGGATATCTGGCACTAGAAACAACATACTGGTTGTCGTAAGGGTGTGAAAAGGAATAAATCATAAGGAACAAGGAATCTAATAAGAAATAAACCGGCCACAAAAATGCACCTGAGCCATACCTTAATCCACCAAATCATTGACTTTCAAACTAGTTTTCTATTTTCTTTCATTCACTTTCAATGGAACCTTGATTCAATCAAGCTGAGTAGTTGGAAGTGAATGTTCTATGCGAATATTGAGGATATGAAAATAGAGGTTGTATTTATTTTCAACAGAACGTGGGAGACGTCGCAACTTGCATTTTTAGTCCCTTTTTCTCTGCTCTATCATCTCTAATAATGTTTTTGTTAGACCTCATTATGTATTTTCCACAAGCTTTACCATAGAAAAACCTTAAACAGTCAATATTATTTCATTCCTTTTTCCTTTTATACTGTAAAAGCCATTCACAAACCAAAATATCTATTTGTGAAACTTCTCGTTTTATGTATGTTGAATCCTTTTTTTGGGGTACTTTTTGCGATGACAACGAATATTTTTGCTCCTTTGTCCTTTCTCTATCTCCACACACTTCACAAAAAAAAACTCTCGACATTCGACATTTATGTTGATTTGCTGATTTGTTAAGGAATATTTTTATTTTTTGTCCTCTATGCTGTATACTTTCGCATTCATGGCATTTCTCTCATCTGTGTTTTTCATCATCTCAACAAGTTGAAAACATTCTTGTCATTCTATTCAACTTGGTATGACCAGACATCACGTTCTGCGGAGATGTTGGGACGCATTTTTGCTTGTGCTAATTAGCTCACAAAAGCTTGGAAGATCGTGAAATATATTTGAGATGGATGATGATGATTTGTGACTAGTGTGAAGTGAATTAGTTGTATTATTCTTAAATTTTGCTCAGTTTTGCTCAATTTAGCTAAGTTTTGCTCAATTTAGCTAAGTTTTAATCGAAAATCTTCATATATTGTCCAAAAGAATTCTCAAAGCGTAAATAACTCAATAAATAATGAAACACATCTTTCCAATTAATCCACAGAAAAATCTTTCATTTATCGATCGAAAATCCACAATAAATAATTCAATCCTTACATAAGGCATTAAATCAAAAGCTCAGTGAATCCAGATACCCAATTAGTTCAACCCCCTCGTCAAGTCATTTAGCCAATCAGTCAAAATGAATAATAAATGACATTATCTGAGTGAAAATGGTCTAAAAATTCATGAATATAATCTAAAAACTTTTCGGTGCTTTTCAGCTATGTTTAAGTGATAAAACGTAGAAAAGTTTCGTAATTAAATTATAATCTCCATTATTTCTGATTTCAACGAAAGGAAAGCCATTTTTGACGATCTTTAACAATATAATAATAATATTCATGCAATTTTGTTTAAATTAATATTAGAAGAATCCTCTCCCACAAAATATTATTGACAATAAAACACCTGTTTTCATTCAAAACAATAATTTGATGTAAAACTTTTTCTTTTGCTTCACATTGCATGTCGGAGGCTACATATAATAATATAATAAGTGAGGCGTTGTTGGTAAAACTTTTCCACTTTAACATTGTTTTTATTGGTCCCGCAAAAAATAATAAAAGCAGGAGAAGAAGAAGAGGAATTAAAGTCAGGTTGCAGGAAACAAAAACATTTAACACCATTGATCGCATATAATACACGTACTTTTCTCTTTTGCAGGTGCTTTTTTGCTGCTAGAGTTGGGAATATTTTACTGCTATAATGGCTTCCTTCATAGGCTGATGTCGATTTTGTGTTGGAGATAATTGGTATAAACGCGATGACCTTTGCTCCAAAGCTCAGCAGCTTTGCTATAAAACTGATCAAACTTCCTATAAAACTGAGAAATCTTGGTATAAACCTGACTAGTCTTACTATAAAACTGAGCAACATTCCTTTTAAATTGACCAACTTTGCTATAAAACTGAGCAATATTCTTATAAAACTTACATAAGATAAACTTACAAAACTTGCTTTAAAATCGAGCAGCCTTGCTATAAAATTGATCAAACTTACGATAAAATGGGAAAAAATTCAAATTCGAACTCTGTCATTCATCCCTTTCAAAAACAAAAGAAAACAAAAACTTCTCTTCCTCTGGAATTTTAATAGAGTTATAAGCAGCTGAACAATACAATCTAAAATATTCCTTTGGTTTACGTTTTCCGCAGCTTTGCGTCAATTAAAACTTGCAAACAAATTTATTTTTACACTTGATAACTTTCTCATTTTGATGGTTTTGTGGAAAAAGTCGACATAAAAAAGTTCCAAAATCCATTTTATTTCAAAAATAAAATTATATAAAATATGCGATTAGATTTACATGGATTTGTTTTGTCGATGGCAATCTAAAAAGTTTTGTCACATTTTAAATGAATGTTTTTTAATCAATTGATCGGAAATTGAGTTGTAAATGATGGATTGAAAGGTTTTGAATCATGAAACAGATTTTTGAATATATTTAATTGAGCTATTTTAAATGTTTAATCATTCAAACATTGACGTGGCCTGGTCTGAAGCAGTCGGGCTGTGTATTATAATTTGTATGTAAATCAACTGTGCTGCTAAGCAAGTTAAGGTAAGTTATACTAAGCTTCAGCCAGTATATACTTTATTGTGTCACATCTCATCATCATTTTCACTTTTCACTCAATTCAAATCCACATGCTTTCCTGTCAATCCACACATCAAACCACAAACGACTCTAATTAAAGCAATAAAATTACAATAAAGCTTCGACAGTCTACTAAACACAACACAGCATCTACCTCACATACTTTATTCAGAAAAGCATGAAAAGCTCCTTTTTCAATTGTTTTCAATTCTTATACTGAAACATTTTTATGGCTTACAATAAATTTCCCTTTTCAATTATGACTATAATAATATAAAGCACAGAAAAGAATACGTATCTGCATATAGTGCACATTTCTATATATTTATATTATTTTGCGAAAAAAGAATAAGAGAAACTTCAACCGACAAAAAGCCACAATGTGTTCATTTATAATGGAAGCGACTTACTCAAAAAATCAACATCCTGAAAAATGATGTGAACATAATATAATGCAGTAGCATTCGGTGAAAAGATAATGATGGAGAAGGCACATTTACAATAAATGAACGAGTATGTATGGATGTTTACAGTATAGCACATTCATTTATTTATGTGCAATAAGCCACCATTGTAAAAAATTGTGAGCGGCATCATGAATACGGCTGTTGTTGTGTATTATTATGTTGAGAGATAAAATTATAGCTACGCTGTACATGCTTTATATTGTGAGGAGAGAAAATTTTATTTAAATATAATTAAATTTTCATGAAATTTATTTTTCACTTTAGGGGCTCATCTAAAATGACGTACATCATATAATTTTTTGACCCCATTCAAACTCCCATTCATAAATTATCTTAGTGTCGCACAGCTTTAAACCCTTTTTGTTCCTGGAGGAAGACGTCATTTATGAACGAACCCCTGACATCGCATGCGAAGAAATCGTTTTTGTTTGAAATGTTACATATGTCGGTGCTGTTGATGATGAAGATGAAGGAAAAATTGAGGCATTTACACTCGAAGGTTTGCTGTGGGATTGGAAAGGATTTCTGAGAATTTTGAGGGATCTTTTGGATGTGAAATTGATAAAAGGAAACAGAAATTGATTGTGGCTTTAAGATGAACTTTATTGTAGCTCTAGTTTTTGTTTTAAATCGTTTGTCAAATATAAAGAAATTTTACTGTTTTATTAAATTCAAAATGTTAATCGTTTTTAAAATTGAGTCAAGAATCGTCATCAAAGTTTATTTTGTAAAGTTCATTATTTAATGTCCGGATTTAAGAGTTTCATATTTACTCTTTAAAGGGCGGAAGCCTAAAAACACTGAAGTGCTGTATTTTCCAACAAATGCTTGTAAATTTGTCTTGAAAGCCGTTGAATCCAAAGTTTTTGACTCATTTTCAAGCTTTTTAACTTCCTTCTCCAGTTCCAAATATTTGGAACTGACACACTGATTTTTGACAATTTTTATAACATCCAAAACGTCTTCTTGAGAGTCCCAAATATCCTTTTGAACACATGGAACGACTTTCATCCAAAAGTAGCCAAGATCATCTAAATGATCAAAAACATTAGCATCAATGTGAATTAGATTTCGTTCCTGGAACTCAACAAATGATAATTTGGGGTTATAGTCAAAAAGACCTTGTTCTATGACTTCAATATGATTATGAGCGGAGCTGAAGGAAGTAAGTTCTGGGAATGGTTTAAGATCTGATTGATGAATCTCCTTCAATTCACAGTAATAAATAAAAATGACTTGAAGTTGACCAAAAAATTCTTCTAAACCTTTTGGGAAGTACTTTATAGAGTATCTATAGTTTGCTCTTAAACCAACCACATCTTTGTTGTTATTCTGATCCTCATGGGTTCCATTAACTGATGTTATTCTTGCCTGTTCACGGGTTTTAATATTTATGCCTCCATCTTTTATATTGCACTGATAAATTCTGCCTATGTAATAGTACCATGCATGGCTTATTTCATATTCACATTCAATATTAGTTGAGAATGCTGGATTATCAAGCATTAGGCAAACACAAGCGATTAAGCTATTAATAAATCAAGAAGGTTAAAATGTCAAAAATGATAAGAAATTGTTTTTATAATTTTTTTAAACTTACAATAATATTTTCACCATTGTAATCGAACTTAGTTGCTATCGATTAAGATACTTTTTGAAAAAGATAAGTTAAAAATTATCAAAAGCTTCTTTAACACTTGTCCTTATACTTGCTTAAGGCACAATGGCTATTTAAAGAATGACTTGTATTAGATGTTTAAAGAAAAATATAATAATCTCAACTTTTTGAACAATTTGTGAGTTTTTAATGAGAATTTGACTGATAATAACACATTTGCGTGCTTTTAGGATTCTCTTTTATTCTATGCTCCACATATGTTTTGAAACAAACTTTTTGGACATCTAGATGTAAAGGTTTGAGAAGCTCTGTACTTTGTAAAATTATTACATTTGCATTAAGCATTTTTATGTCACACAAGAATTTTTCCTTATTTCCTTGACTCACTGAAAATAAAGGAAACAAAAGAAAAATTCCGAATGGGGTCGTTCATAAATGACTTATCTACTTTGTGTCAGTGGAGCTTAGACTCTCTTTTTCCCACTACTTTGTGACATTCAAACCTCCCAAAAATTAGACATCACTTACAAATGACCCCAAACCAAATTGTTATGTCTCAATTTTATGAAAAAGCATGGAAAAAATTCCTTATCCATAAAATTGTTATTTTTATGGATGAGAGATGCCATGAAGTTGAGGCTTTTCATGAATTTATGACGGCAACATCGTCTTATTCATCTTCCTTGCAGCTCACAATGAATGTTTAAAGTTTTTGTCTTCATTTTTTTTTTTGAAAAAACCAACGAGCACTCATCGACTAAAAGCTTCAGCCGTCATAAAGTACATCGTGTGTGATGTATTACAGTGTAAAGTAAAGTAAAGGCAATGGCAATAAATAACTTTATGTTTAGCATTTTTTTTACTACATCAATATCAATACTTGTATCACATAATACGTTACATGTTATGATTTAGGGTTATGTCTTATTCGTTTTTCCTGCACTTCAATAAAGTTATATATATATAACTTATATATATATATATATATATATCAAATTTTAGTAGCTATGAACTAGTAAGTGGGATTCATTAATTTTTGGTGGATCTATCTTTGAGTTTACTACTATACTAGCTGCAGATTAGTATTACTCTCACTTAAGCAATAATCTAAATTATAACTACTGAGCTATAGTATCCTAACCTCAAAATGTATATGCACTAATTGCCTAAAGTCAGACAATACATGAGAACAATATAAATCTCATCGATTCTGCAACTTATGTGAAAGAAAATTGATCACACAATGAGGAATGAAGAAACAATTGCGTGCTTGGTAAAGATTTGTTCTACTCTTTTCTTGTTTTACTGCATTTATCAGATGTGGTCTGGCTACAGTAGCCTGATACTTTTTTTTTCCTGTAATCGAGACATTATAGGATCAGAAATTCTTGATATATGATATTTGATGCCTCGACAAGCATTCTTGTGGATAGAAAAATTGGTCTAGCATGAGTGGAAGCGATCAATTTATTGGAATTATGTGTTTGTATGTTATTTATTGGCTGTAATCAATATCTTACATCATATTCTTGTTGGTATGAAAATTTTTTATATATTGTGTGTATATGATGGATTCTTCCTCAAAATTGTGGTTTGTGATATTTTTGGCAAAGTTTATTCATCTTGTTTTTGGTTATCTTCTTGTGGATGGGTTATAGAACGGATTTTAAGAAAGTTGATAGTTGTTTTGGATATAATTGATTATTCTTTGATTGTTTAATTTAAATTGTTTGGTTTCTTAAAGTTTGTCTGCTTAATTTGGAAAGTCTTTGAATATTTTGGTTCGATATTCGATTCGAAAAAGCTGTTAAATATCAATCTTAACTTATAATGCCATTCATAAATCAATTTTAAATAATCAATTTCTTCTTATTCTTCTAATAGAAATGTCATCTTCTGGGAAATTATCCAAAATCCTTATCTATGATCCTAATTTTTCCAGATAATAGCCGTAATTTCTTTTGTTTAAGAAAGGATCTTCTCACAAAGCCTAAGCCATAAAATAAAAGTGCTTTTCTTCTTGTCATTCGACTACATTAAGGACAGTCATCTCCATTCACAATTCATCAATTGCTATCGTCTGTACAAGATGAGGCTTGGCAGTTGTTAACCTTTGGATTACATGAAAATATCATAAAATCTTCAAGCTACAATTTCCATAAAAACTACATCGATAACTCATGCCGGATTTCTTAAATTATCTTCAGCTCACCTGATACATTCTCATAAAAATCTTTTACTTATGCTGCTGTGCATGAATGTCTTTACTAGACGAGGATGATTCGTGGATGAATGGATGCTGCTCTATTTTTAATTCTATAACATCTGGTATAAGTGAAATAAATGTTCTCACATAATAATTTACTACTTCCTCCATATTATACACATAGTTCCTTTCCTTCATCATGCTCATGTGCTAATTTATGACTAAAACAAGAGTGGATACAGAATAAATTTTGTCTGCCTGTAATCAATCTTAGAAGGAAATTAATTTTTTTTTTGAGAATATGCATTAAGATTAATGAGAACGAGGACATCGCAAACTTTCAAAAAGCTCCCCATCCACAGCCGCACCAAATTTTTTCAGCAACTTTCTCTTTTCTGGTTTCAATTGCACTGTAAATGAACATCAATTTTCTAGGATTTCACCATCATAATCATCATCATCATGCGATATATCCTTACTCATCTCATTTTGTGTATTTATCACTTTGCATGGTCATGCCTGAAATAAGGAAGATCTTGGAATCATAAAGCAAATGAAATGAGGGAAAATAATAATATGGGAGGAAATGGGAATAGTCTGTATAGTTTTGATTGCTGTATTTTGAGTTTTTCTGGGTTTTCTGCATTTTAACGGTTTTTTGAGATTTGAAATTCAACGGTTTTATCGGTTTTATAAGGGTAATTCCATGAGAAATTTTTGTAAAAAATTTACTTAAAATTGATTTTTTTCATATTTAGGCTTTACAAAAGTTAATAAGATTTTCACAGTGCATGTAAAAAGTCATATGGTATATGATTTGACATTAATTTTTTATCTAAAGTGGTTAATTCGTCCAAAAAATTGATTCCATGAGCGTTACTTGGTAACGCTATAAATGTTACCAAGTAACGCTATAAAATATAATTTTTTGGACTTAATAATCACTTTAGATGACATTTTAATGTCAAATAACATACCTTATGGCTTTTAACATGTCCTGTGGAAATCTTATTAACTTTTGTAAAGCCTAAATATGAAAAAAATCAATTTTAAGTAAATTTTATAGCAAAATTATAGCATGGAATTACCCATAAAGATTTAAATTGAAGACTTGCAGAATTTGAAATTTTAACGGTTTTGTTGAATTCAAAATTCAACGGTTTTGTAAGAATTAAATATTTAAATATCTTTTCACGATGAGGACTAAAGCTTTAACGAGCTTTTCGTCTAGTTCCCACGCGTATGACTGTGCATGAGTCCATAAACTTATGTGAATAAATATTGAGAGATTATATCAATTTAATAGAAATATTCCTTTTATTATGTGCGAATGTGAGCAAAAATAAATTATCACTCGTCCAACATCATGTGAGGAATCAAAAAAGAAGCCTTCCTCAGTTCCATGTCAGATTCATATCACTGAAATAAATAAAAATCTTTTTATTAATTGACATTTGCTTCCATTCAGCATTAAAGGTAGGAATAATAGAATTGAATGACATTGCTCATAGTGGCTCATAGCCCACACACATTTCATTTCATTTCCCACAGCAATTAAATTAATTTTTTTAATGCCAACTGTCAGTGACGTTCATTTTTTTTCTGTTGTTGTATGTCCTTTATTCCTCTTGTTCTTCGCTTTTCTATTTAATGCTCTGGTCTTGACAGACTATAAATAAACATCTTTATAAATTCTAGTCTGTGTGGTGCTCATAACCGCACAGAAAACACCATCATAACTACATAGTTCTGTGTTTTAAGTGCATGTTTTGGATCTCAATGTGCTGTGTCCACTGAATTGAGCATTTTTGCTGTTGAAAGCTTTAGCTGGAAAATTTTTAGAGGATTTCTATGGAAATTTTCTTTGTCGTGAATCCATTTGTTATTGAGATCGGTTTGTATTGAATGTGGATTGCTTCCTGTGTTGGATATAATCTGTTTTGTGGAATCATGTTGTTGGGGTAAAAGACTTGAATTTTGAATTTTTTGCAAAATAAATATTAACAACTCTATTTCAATTTGAACTTTTTTTTGAGCACAATCCCATAAAATGGCGCCTACATCACAAATTCATCGGAACAATTTTGAATTATTTTCTGTATTTTCTCCTCTTATTCCTCCTATTTTCATCGCAATGTATTTTTTGAGCTTTTGTGACATTAACATTAATTTTAACAACAATAAGAGAGAGGGAGAGAAGCAGTAGCAGTGATGGTAAGTTAATGTAAATATATAATTTTACAGCTATTATGGTGACATAATCTGAGATTTTTTGAACATTAACGATGCTTTTGCTGTTGACGGGATTTTTTTTTGTTAACTTTTTGTGTCTACAGACGTTTTTGGGAGAAGCTTTAATGAGAAAGAGAGCCTGAAAGTTGATAATAATTCAATTCCCATGCCAAAAATAGACGAATCATTTGACGCTCTTCATGCATGCAATTTCCGCTTAATAAAATTAAAAAAAAAAACTTAACATAATTTCATTTTGGAAAAGCATCATTAAAATTTCAAAATGACTTCATTTATCTATGCTGACAACTTTTTAACAAAAATATAAAGTGGCACAAATTATATTTTATTTTTATTTCTATCGCTCGCAGATACATCCGTACACAAATACACGGGATATGATGTGGAATTTAACATTGAATGTGATTTTTAAAATGGAAGTAATTTAGAGTAATAAAACAGTGATAACAATAATCGTGATAGCTAAACCACCAGATTTTTCCATACACTTTTCTATCCTCCTTCAATTTTCACAATCATTAACTTAATACGTATTCAGATACATTCATGGATGTGTGAATTGAACTTTCTAGGGGCGGAAATATCAGTTTTTTTTTTCAAACTTGTGAATTGATGAAGCTCAACTTGACTTGATGA